AGACGTGCTTAGGGTTTTCAAGGACGATGCTAAGTGGGTTACAAAAGAGCAACCATTCATATGCCATCAGATCAGCCATGATGGGATAACGTAGGACACTGTATCGACTAATTGTGGATGTCCCAGTAGAGCACTTGAATCTCTTTAAATCTAATCCGTTGTAGGATTTGAATTCCTTGTTCCTTGTTGCGAAAGGAACCCTTATTGTCCAAATCTTTCCTTGCAATATTTCTCTGATTCTGTGGTCTATGACCCCACCGCCTTTATTGCGTATAAGTTGGTAATAGTTGCTTGGTTAATAGCTTATGATGCCACAAAGAAACCGATGGCCCCTGTGGAACATCTGCCGCATGGTGACGCTGCTCGGCATGCGCTGGTATCGATGTTGTTGACCAAGCACCTTTACCAAGCTACACCGCCGTACCGCTCAACTCCTCGCTTCTCTAATTATTATTTTTTAAAATTTAAAATAAGTTGCAGTGAAAATTGATGAAAGTTGGGGATGTAGCTCAACTGGTAGAGCCTTTATCTGTGCATGAAAAAGGTACGGGGTTCATCTCCTCGCATCTCTAATTATTATTTTTTATTAACCTATCTTCTAAGATTAGATAAATTTAAAATAATTCATAGTGGAAAATTGAACTAAAATGGGGATGCAGCTCAACTAGTAGAGTGTTTGTCTATGCATAAAAAAGGTATGGTGTTCAACTCCTCGCATCTCCATTTGTTATTTTTTATTAATCTATCCGCCAAGATCAAATAAAATTTAAAATAATTTGTAGTCGAAATTGATCAAAATTGGGGATGTAGCTGAACTGCTCAACTCCTCGCTTCTCCAATTATTATTTTCATTAATCTATCTTATAAGATCAAATAAAATTTTTAAAAAAATTGTAGTGGAAATTGATCAAAGTTGGGGATTTAGCTCACCTTGTAGAGTGTTTCTCTACGCATGAAAAAGGTACGGTGTTCAACTCCTCACATCTCCATCTGTTTTTATTAATATTAATCTATCTTCCAATATCAAATAAAATTTAAAATAATTTGTAGTGGAAATTGATCAAAATTGGGGATGTAGCTCAACTGTTCAACTCCTCATCTCCAATTGTTATTTTTTTAATCTATCTTCCAAGATCAAATAAAATTTAAAACAATTTGTAGGGGAAATTGAACAAAATTGGGGATGTAGCTCAATTGGTAGTGCGGTTATCTATGCATGAAAAAGATACGGGTTCAACTCCTCTCATTTCTAATTATTATTTTTTATTAACCAATCTTCAAGATTAGATAAATTTTTGCATGAAAAAGGTATATGTTCAATCCTCGTATCTCTAATTGTTATTATTTTTATTAATCTATTTTCCAAGATCAAATAAAATTTAAAACAATTTGTAGTCACAAATTGAACAAAATTAGGGTTGTAGCTCAACTCCAGAGCGTTTATCTATGCATAGACAATTGAAAGCCTGGGTGAGCGCCGGGGCCAAGCGTGGTTTCCGGGCTTGTAACAAATTAAACAAGCCCTGAGTTTGGGGCAACGTATTAGGTGCAAACTAACTAACCTATGTAAACTTAAAACTACCAATCAGGACCACTAGATGCTGATCTAATGAATGGGGTGAGAGGTGGGATTTTTTTGCGCTTAAGCCCCCCATCCGCCGTCCTTTTTCGCGCTTAAGTCCTCTCACCCCATCATTGGATCAGCATCCAGTGGTCCTGATTGTTAGTTTGCAAGTTTGCACAGGTTCGTTGGTTTGCACATGATATGTTGCCTAGTTTGGGATCAGGGTCCATGAAAAACGATGCTCATCGAATTTGAACAAAAATTTAAAATATCTAGATCCTTGAATCTTAAAACTACAACATTGTAACTTTGTAGGGCCTAGCATTCTAGTTTAGAATGTTGGCATGTTATGATATAGAATTATGAGATAATAGGCTCTAAAAGTAGCGTATTAGCTATCTAAAAGAAGCGTCCTGTTCGCTTGGCTTATAAGCCGTACTTTTTCAGCCAACAAATAGTATTTTTCTCTCACAACAAATCAGCCAACAGTACTTTCAGCCATGGCTTATCAGCCAAACGAACAGGGTAACTGTTTTGTAAATTTATCCTGAAGCTTCAAAACTCGTTTTCCCACACTACAACCTATTCCAATGAAAGAATATAATATGCCTCAAGCTTCGTCTTCCTACATCTCCATTACGTCACATACATGATAGACAACGCCACACTTGCAGCTGCTCTTCAGGCACAACGACTGGACAAGAATCCTAGACACTGGACGCTATGCCCCATGATTGCCAACTTCTCCAAGCAACACGGGCAACAAGACTTCTCAGTCATGAAGATCCATGATCAAGCAATGGACATGCCAGTCATTTGGCTTGACTTGTCAAAACAACACAGGCAGCAAGACTTCTGGGTCATCAAGATCCATGATCAACCAATCGATAGCCTGTTCGGCTGGTTGGCTAGTTCGTGGCTGGATCATGGATTATTACTGCTGGCTGGTTTGGTGTGAGAGAAAAATACTGTTCCGGCTAAAAATTTACGATCGTATACGAGCAAGCCCAACCTGCCGAACAAGCTGCGACATGCCAATCATTGGCCAAACAGCTAGCCAACATATACTTGCACGCATTTTCTAGAATTTCATTGTACAATTTGCTATTTTTGTTTGTTTTTCCTGGATTGAGTTTGCTTCCTAGCTTTTGAGACAATGTCCATTTTATGAATCCACTAGTGCCTCATTCCAAATTTTGTGGAAATCTTTTAAGGGTCTGTTTGCATAGTTTTTCTAGAAGTGATTCTCTGAGTAGAAGTGATTATATAGTAATTCTCTAAGATAAGCTATTTTTTCATAACATAGTGATTCTCTAAGTAGAAGTGGGTTACATGGCTGGAAGTGTTTCTCTAGTAATTCTATAAGACAAACTACTTTTTTCATAACAGAGTCACTTCTCATAACGAAGAAGCTATTTTTTTTTTCAACTCCCAGCTCCTAATTCATTCAGAGAATCACTTCTCAAGAATCAGGCTAGAATCCCCTCCCCCACCCCCCTAAAATTCCCTCCGAACAGATTCTTTAATTCCCAGTGAGAATCATGAGCTGGGAGCTGTGCCAATCGCCTCTCAAGTGTGCTTCTCGAGGGGTTTAATAATTTCACATCATGAGATTTATGCCCAATATTTTTGGTTCTAATGCAAGCGGATTCCTTTTTTTTCATATTCTCGCCCTTGGAGCCCCAAGAGGAAAATCTCTCTTGCTGGTGGGACCATCTGTAAATGGGCCATTAGATCAGTGAAATGAACATAAGCATGTATGGACTATGGACCGGATATTGGGCTTCAGTGGACCTGATTTAGCCAAAGGCAACATATCAGGTACAAACTAACCAATCTGTGTAAACTTAGAAACTACCAATCAGGACCATTAGATGCTGATCCAATGGATGGGGTGAGGGGGCTTAAGCGCAAAAAAATCACACCTCTCACCCCATCTATTGGATGAGCATATAGTGGTCCTGATTGGTAGTTTCCAAATTTGCACAAGTTGGATGGTTTGCACCTGATACGTTGCCTTAACCAAAATAGCGTGTGATCTTCGATGGGCAGAAGCCATATTTCTCCCTCAATTATTGGCATATTCTGTTTTCCCCCCTCAATCGCAAAACCAAACATAAAACCCCCTCAACTTTTAATACCGTTTATTTTACCTCCCTAGCCGATTCCAAAGTGGTTTCATCCTACGTGGCGACACGTCATCGATTTACTATGTCATTATGGCTGACGTGGCGACTCTTCATCTCTCGTCTCTATCCTCTCCCAAACCGAGTGATGCGGCTGCTGTTCCTGATGATGGCAGCGGCGGCGGTGCTGGTTGGAGCGGCGCGGGCGTTCAGGTGCTACCCGCGGGTGTTCAGCTTCGGGGACTCGCTAGCGGACACTGACAACGTGCGCTTCGTCTATGACGAAGACTGCGGCAACCCCGCCCTCTAGGCCTCCTACGGCGGGGCCTTCCACCACGTGGCCGCATCGTCCTCGACTTCATAGGTACGCCACAGCTTTAACCCAATGCCATAGCTTTAACCCACTACTCATCCAATGATCAATTAGCTAGATAGAAGTTGGAGCTAGCGGCTCTTATTTTGAGATTTAGAATCTACAGGGCGCGCTAGGGCTCTTGTTCTTGCGGTCGTACTTCAGCGAGAGACGCGCCGCGGACTTCGTGCACGGGCCAACTTCTCTGTAATGGCGGAGGCTGCTGGCGGAGGCGCCGACTGCAGGCTGGTGGAGGCGGAGGAGACTGCGTCAGGGCCCGGTAGTGGTGCGCGCCGCGGCGCCAGCAGCGGGAGGGAGAGGATAGATATGAGAGATGAAGAGGCGTCACGTAAGCCAAGCCGCACTGACACGGTGAATCGACGATGTGTTGTCACGTAGAATGAAACCACACTGGAATCGAGCTGGAGAGGTAAAAATAAACAGTATTGAAAATTGAGGGGGTTTATATTCGGTATTACGATTAAGGAAAGGAAATTAGACTATGCCAATAATTAAGAGAGGAAAATAGGACTTTTTCCTCTTCGATTCGATTCGGAACCGCACGTCCTGTTCGCTTGTGCTTACGCTGAAAAGCTCGAGCGAGAGACGAGTTCCAGCCACGGCTTTTCCGTCCGACGCTGGCAATTCGATGAGTTTTCCGATCTTTGTAGCCTACCCCGTTTTGCGATCCTCTATCGGATCCCTCCCATCCGGAAGCGCAAGCTCCGCTGGATTTTGTCTGCTTAATGAGGTAACTAGATTGGGATCGCCGGAGGACGGCTTCGCCGTGGAAAGGCGCCTATAGATTGGGGATCGCCGGAGGACGGGCTTCGCCGTGTAAAGGCGCCTCTTTTATATGGGGTTTTCTGGAACGAAGCGCAAAGAAGCCCCCTTTGCTTCGCTCGCCGCCTGTGCTGCCCGTCCTTTCAAGTGCTCATCTGGGGCGGCGGCGGCGGCGATGGAGGTGCCGAGTGACTGGGCGTCACTCCTCCCGGATCTGACGCAACTCATCGCCGCCCGCGTACTGGCGGCGGACGTGGTGGATTACACGTCCTTGCGCGCCGTGTGCGCGAGCTGGCGTGCTTCCACGCCCAGTCCGCGCGACCCTAGCCTCCGTGACGCGCGTCTCCGACCGCGCGGCTGGGTCGCGCTATGCGACGGCGACGGCGTGCGCCCGGCCGACGCATGCGAGGTCGCCTTCCTCTGCACCGCCACCGGCAGGTGCGTCCGCGTCCGCCTGCCGAAGCTCCGCGGCCACCGCATCGTCGGCTTCACCGACGGCCTCCTCATCCTGCTCAACAAGGGAACCACCGCCGTCCGCGTCCTGCATCCCTTCACCCGCGTCGCCGTCGATCTCCCGCCCATCGCCCCCATCTTCGACTACATGGTCAAGGACCAGCTGTCCCGCGCCTGGGTGAGAGCCGCCGTGTGCATGTCCCAGAACTCCCCCGACTCCATCGCCGTCGTCGCCTGGTTCCTCAACGCAGCGGGGGTGGTCGTCGCCGAGCGTGGCTCCCCGTGCTGGTATACCGTGCACCACAGCCTCCAGCTTGCCTCAGCCGTCCCCTTCCAAGGCCGGCTCTATGGCGTCGTCAGAAACAAGATGGCGGTTCTGCAGATCTATCCTCAATGCCTGGACCCTTGCATTGCTCTTATCCCAAGATTTGACATTCCTCAAGAGTCAAGACTATTTCTTCTTCCTCCTGGAGTCTGCTGCGCGCCTGGTACTTGTTATCCGCCACTTTTCCCATGACAATCCCACTAAGGGATATGGACCTCGCCGGTTTGCGTTGTTTGAGGTTGGCACGGGCGCACGGCTGAGCAGAGGGGGCTTGCTCCGTTGAGCAGCCTTGGTGATCGAGCTCTGTTTCTCGGCCTTGACCGCTGCCTCTCTGTGTCTGTGTCTGGAAACAACCTGCCTTCCATCAGCGGTGATGCCATTTACTTCTACTCTGAAGATCTCTATCCTCTTCTTATGTACTCTGTCAGCAGCAGCACATGCGAGAAATTATCAATGCTATCCATCATCCATGACGGCAGAAAGAGGATCCGACCCTCTGTGCGGCCCTTCACACTAGCAGATCATCTGTTCACCTTTTGCGGCCATCGTTGTTGGTAAGTTCTTGAACCTCAGTAACTGTCACATGAATTGTTTGTGACACTCTAATGTGCTAACTGATCTGTGCTTTCTCATTGTTTGTATAACTTTAATGTTCTAATTGATCTGCCTTTTCTCTTGCTAGGTCAAGGGGACTCATGTTTCATGAATACCACTACATACCTAGATCTTGGAAGTATTTGTCCAAGAAACACAAAGCCCAAGACTGCGAAGTTCAGTTTCAAATCTCAAGAGGTTTGAGCTGTTAGAAATAAGGGCTCCTTTCACCGAGAATAACTGCCCTAGCTTGGCACTTGCTTACCTAGAAATCTTTGAAGAAGTTGTCCAAGAAAAAGAAATCCCAAGACTACGAAGTTCAGGGTCAGGTTCCAAGCTGCATACTCGGTGAAGTTTTAGCTGCAGGATTAGGTCTGTTACAAATAAGGGCTCCTTTCACCGAGAATAACTGCCCTGCCCTTCTGCAGTTGGCACAACTCGGTGATGATTAAAATCCACACTGAAAATGTGGCCTCAGCCCAACCTCTTCCATTTGTTAGTTCTTTTTCATGTTTATTACTACAATTTATATAAAGATTGAATATAAACAATGATGCACTGATTTCCTCCTGAAGTAGGTTTCAAGCTACTGATGCAATGACATTCTGGCTTTCTGCTATATCTATCTATCTATCAGTTTTAGTCCTTTCCATAATTGAGTTTCAATTATTTGATTTTCTCTAATTCACTTGCTAGTTCTTATATAGTTTCAAAATGTTTCTTAATTTTTTGAGAAACGGTTGTCTTCTCTTAGCTGATTTTCCTTCCCCGTCGATAAAGAGCGGAAGAAATAATTGCGAAGCTTCATGGATTTGAAGCTATTAGGCTAAAGAAGATAGGATTTGCGTTTATACGCTGCTCAGGTCTTTCCTTATAAGTAAATGTTGTGAATCCCATGAGTTCATTTTGGGGACTGTGGGCTAAGAAAAAGATCGACAAAATCAGGAGATCTTTCTTGTGGAAGGGGGAGCAAAATGCTAATGGCGGACACTGCCTAGTTAACTGGCAAACAGTAACCAGACCAAAAGACCTTGGCGGGTTAGGCGTCCCAGACCTGGAGAGATTTGGGCGAACCCTCCGGTTGCGATGGCTTTGGCAAGAATGGGTGGACGATTCCAAGTCCTGGAGCGGCTCGGAGCTTCCATGCTATGATGATGACCGCCTCCTCTTCAACTCCTCAATCATTATATCGTTGGAGGATGGTGCAAAGACGAAGTTTTGGCACCACAGTTGGCTCGATGGACAAGCTCCTAGGTACCTAGCCCCGAACTTGTTCCGCCTAGTCTCAAGGACAAACCGCACGGCGCAACAAGAGCTCCGGAACAATAATGGGATGCATAAGCTAGGAAGGAAAATCACCTCGGCTATCCACATAGAGGAGTTTGTGTCCCTCTAGATACGTATACAAGATGTGCACCTACAACAGGGCGTCCAAGACACCATCACCTGGCGTTGGACCAATGATGGGAATTACTCCACCCGCTCGGCCTACAGAATCCAATTCAGAGGTTCGCTCCTCCCCTTCCGTATGAACTTGATTTGGAAAGCGCATGTGGAGAACAGATGCAAGATCTTCGCTTGGATCTTAGTGCAAGATAAAATTCTAACGGCACAAAACCTATAAAAGAGAGGATGGCCACACCAACAACAATGCGTGCTGTGCAACGGTCCCTTAGAGATAGGCCTCCACCTATGCATTTGTTGCCCTTTTGCTAAGGCGGTTTGGGATCAAATCCTCTCGTGGGAAAACTTCACTCAACTACAACAACAGCCACAGGTAGACCCCGCCCATATCAAATCATGGTGGGAAGACGCGGCAGCGAAAGTGCCAAGATCTGAGCGTAGGCGGCTTAACGGGGTAGTAATCTACATCTTTTGGAATATATGGAAAGAAAGAAATAGGAGAATTTTCGATAACATGATACAAACGGTGCCGCAGGTAGCCGCAAGGATAAAGGAAGACATAGAGCAAAAGAAGAGAGCACTTGATTACGTTTAGCTCACATGCTTAGGGGGGGTTAAAACCATAATCTCGTTTGTCCTTGCTTGTACATAAATTTTTCTTTCCCTATTTTAATTGAAAGGCAGAGCTCCTGCCATTGCGTTCAAAAAATATATATATGTTGTGTGCGTCCACAGTTATCTTACATGGGTCAATCATATCCACGAAGATCTGTGGAGACAGAAAAATCAGGTATGGAGAAATAAGGGTGGAAGAGTTGATGATTCATAAAAACTGCTGCTGGTGAAATTTAAACTTTCACTTTCCATGTTGATTTGATCCTAGACTAGAAATCTAAACTTGATTTCAAGTCTTGATGGTTTCTCTTCTTTACATTGGCTTTGGGAGATTGATCTGTGTCATGGAAAAAGTTGATGTGCCCAAGGAGTTCACAGCTCATAATGGCAAGATGATGACGGCTTGCTAGAAGGCCTGATGTTGTGTTGCTTTGCCAGTGTACCTTTGTTACAGGTTTACAGCATTTTTTTTCCTGATTTTACGCATGGTAGGAGGCTCTATACCAAGCTGCTTCGAAATGAACTGGCGGTTTGCCCCTTGAACTGGAGATGCCCTCCAAATTTTGCAGCACAGTTGTGCCGATGCAGTTTCTTGGAGCAATACAGACGGCCAAAACAGCGAACGCGTCGGTGGATCATGTGTCGCACGCACTCGCGTTAGCGGCTTCACGGACGTGGTAATCAGTGTGTCATGTTCCCCAAATATTTGCATGTTGCTATGGAGTACTTGTATCCAAATCTTCAGGATTTAGTTCCAAAAAAAACAGAGCAATCCGGCTTGTCTCTAGGGTTAGTTCATGTTAGATTTGTATCGAGCACTTTAAGAAACCACCCAAACACGAAAACCACCCAAACCGCCGTACGAAGAAGCACCGTTTGTCAACTTCGACAACTAGGGCTCCGTTAGAGCATCTCCAAGAGTACCATATTTTCTTTCCTCAAAAGATATAATGTTTTTCAACTCCTAAAAAAGTATTAGGAGTAATAATCAAGGCCATCTCTAAGAGTTTTTAATAAATTACTCCTAAAACACAAAAAATGTAGGTCCCACATGTTATTTTTTCTACGACATTTTTTTCCGCGCGAGATCGGTCTCCGTGCCCACATCCGTCGCCGCCGGCTCTCCTAGGCCGCCGCTGCCGGCACCCTCTCGCTGCTCCGTCTAGCAGGTTGCCGTCAGGCCCTCCCGATCGGCCACGAGGAAGCAGTATGCAGCAGCCGGCCACCAGGCAAGCAACAGGCGTGTAGCACCTTCACCACGCGGCCACGCAAGGACACTCAAAGGCCGGCTGCAGAATTGGCAGCACCACGCGAGGCCGAGGGCGCCGATGCGGGCCAGCGGCGCAGGGCCATCCCAGGGGCGGCCAGCTGCGGCCTCTGCTCGGTGATCAAAGGCTACGGACGGCGCGAAGAGGAGACCGTGCTGAAAATGACGCCGCGAAGAAGAGATCGCGCGGGAAACTAGGGATACGTGCTCCTAGGCCGCGCGCATTTTTACGCGCAAGTGGCGGTAGTTTTGCAATCACCAAAGATGGAGAATGAATATGAGGTACTCTCAGAGATAATTTTTTCTCATATTTCTCGAAAAACATGAACGTGGAAGGGATATCGGGTACTTGGAGATGCTCTTACTCCCTCGCCGTCGAAGACACACAAAACGCACTATCGAAATCCAAAGCGGCAACTAGGGAGGAATCCCACGCATCATTACACACAGTTACGTTGATACGACAGGAAATTCTGCCAGAAATTATCCGGCTCTGCATGCTGCATTAGACAGCAACCAAACCAAATCCTCGGGGAACCCGTGCAAATTGCAAATAGATACAGAACGCCTAGCGTCCGGACGTCCGACGGGACGTCGCGTCTGGACACGGTTCCGACACCAGTGCTCCTCCCACATCCGCATCCTGCCCCACGCCCCGCATCCCGCTCCAGCACCCGCGCTCACGTCTGTCACAGGGACTCGCGCCCCCGCGCCCACCCCGCGCCCCGCACGGGGAAACCCACGTGAGTTGACCCACAGCTGCGCCCCCAGCAGCAACGACGGCCACCGGCTGCACCGTACAACACCCCGATATACGTTTGCAACATACGTCTAAAATAGATGAAACATTCAACATGTGCAACATCCTGATCTACTTTTGAAACATCCAGATGCAACACTTACAACGTAAAAAAAAGACAGATGAAACACTTGAGACATACGTTTGAAACACTTGCAACATACGTGTAAAAAAACAGATGAAACATTGTGGATAGACGTTTGCAATATACGTGTATAACCATAGCAATATATGCAACATCCTTATTTACTTTTGCAACATCCGCATGAAACAATTGAAACATACGTCTGAAACAACTGAAACACTGGAAACATGGGCTCGCAACATGTCTGAAAAGCGTCCAGAAACACTTGAAACACAGCATCGCCGCGCAGGCATGACCTACTTGGTGGGCAACTGTGGTGGCGCAGGCTCGCTGGATGGTGCGTGCCCGCACGCCCCCGCCATGCCCGCCGCCAACCGAGGGAGAGGAGATGTTACCGGATCTGGGGAGGGCGCCACCGGCCAAGGGAGGGTCGGATCCGGTGGGACACGGGGGAGGATCGCGGCCGCCATGGAGTGGGGGGAGGGGACGCCATGGAGGCCGTCGGACTTTAGGGAAGACGCACGTGTAGGAGAGGTGGTTGGATCCATGGAGAGAGGGAGGCTTGCTCAAGCCACCATGGAGTTGGGGGGGCTGCCATGGAGTGGGGGGAGAGGGTCGTGGCCATAGCGGTGGAGAAGAAGCGAGCTAACGGCGGCGGTGCGGTGGAGACGCCCGCAACGACGATGCGAAAAAGGAACGATGCGTCGCTCTATTTTATTTTGTTTTTTGTTTTTGAGGAACTCTGTATACGGGCCAAGAGCAGGCTATGGGCCGGTTCGCAGGCCCAGCTAGCTACGTCCGACACGGGACGGACGCCTTAGCCGAAGCATTATCGAAATAGATACCATTAAGAGGTGTGGTGGGGGAGTCCGGTGCAATGGTGAAATGTACTCCCCCTGCCTTGACCCGACTGCAAGATGAATGCCACCTCTGTAGGGGCTAGAGCAGCTGCCTCCTGAACATAAATTTTGGAGGTTTAGAAAAGGTCCTAATTAATGAGACTAGATGTTGCGAGTGATCAAATTATAGTACTACTTCCGTCCACGAAAGAATACAATTCTCGAATATCGACAAGTCACAATCTGAACTTTGACTAAATTTGTATAAAAAGTACAAACATTAATGATACAAAATAAGTGTCATTAGATTAGTTATATAATATATTTTTATAATAAATTTATTTAGAGATATAAATGCTAATATTATTTACTATAAATTTGGTCAAACTTGAGCTCGATTGACCGGTACGGATACCATAACTGCATTCTTTTATGGACGGAGTGAGTAACACACTGACACTGGAGCAGAATAGATTAAAAGTTGTGCAGATTTTGCCTCTAAGCTGAATTTCAAGAAAATATATAGGTTGCATAACTTAATCCTGATCTTGATTTTCAAAGAAAAGCAAGATTAAAAAATATATATAAGAAAATAAAGATGCAGATATTCATATTAGAAATGTCATACAGACTTGTCTCTGTCTGCGGCGCTGAAAGATGCTAATTGCCCAAGCCATAATGTAGAATGGTAGCAGGAAACCAGCAGCACGCGGTAGAAAAAGCTGACAATTATGAACCATCAATAGTTCAATACTAAGTGTTAATAACCACGCCTAACAAGAGGATGCTAATAGTACATTTCATGAAAGATCCTTCGCTTACTGAAAACATTGCAGAAGTATCGTTATCATCTTCATCAGTTAGAGTCAGTGCGTGTCTCAACAACAAGAGAGCCATTAACTGAACATAAAAGGTAAATGGATGTTATGAATAAAAAAGAAAGATCCTTTGTCGTGCCCGGAGGGCGTCCGCGCCACCGCGCCTCTGCCCCACCCAGCGGCAGGGGTCGACGCCACCGTACCTTTGCCCCGCCCGACGGCAGGGGTCGCCGTCGCAAATCCATTTCCTCGCCCAGCGGCTAGATCACCGCCGCCGCACCATTGCCTTATCCAGCAGAGGACGACTCCCCCGGCGCCCTTTAGGGCAATCTATCTTCCAAGATTAAATCAAATTTAAAACAGTTTGTAGTGGCAAATTGAACAAAATTGGGGATGTAGCTCAACTGGTAGAGCGTTTTGTCTATGCATGAAAAAGGTACGGGTTCAACTCCTCGCATCTCCAATTTTTATTTTTGTAGTGGCAATTTTTGTTTTTTATTAATCTATCTTTCAAGATTAAATCAAATTTAAAATAATTTGTAGTGGCAATTCGAACAAAATTGGGCAGG